ATGAACATGGGATATCTTTCCTTTCATTTGTGTGTTTTTCAATGTCTTCCATCAATGTTTTACAGTTTTCATTGTACAGAGTTTTGGTATTTTATTCCTTCAATACTATGATAAATAGAACTATTTGCTTAATTTTTTAGCTTATTATTGGTACATATAAATGAAATTGACTTTTGTGTGTTGATTTTTGTATTCTGAAGCTTTACTGAATTTGTTTATTCTAACAGTTTTTTTGGTGGAGTCTTCAGGGTTTTGTACAAACAAGATCATGTAATCTGCAAACAGGGATAATTTATCTTCTCCCTTTCCAATATGGGTACTGTGTTAGATTTTCATCACTCTCACCACAATACCCAACAAGAACAAATTAGAGGAGAAAAAAGTTTATTTTGGCTTACAGTATCAGAGGTTTAGTTCAAGATCAGCCAACAATATTGCTCTAGACCCAAGGTGAGACAGAACATCATAGCAAAGGAAGGCATGGGAGAGGAATACTACTCCACTCATGGTGGAGAGAGAAGAAAAAAGGCTTCTGGGAAGATGAACCCTTCCTCTGTACCCCTAGTGATCTACCTCTTCCAGCCACACATCACCTGCCTACAGTTAGTCTATTCAAATTAGAATGGGCCCATTCGATCATAGCTCTCATAATCTAATCATTTCACGTTTGAATATCTCTGCATCAACACATGTATCCAAGCCATAAGAAACATATTTTATTTTTCTTGCGTTATTAATCTGGATAGGACTTCCAGTATATGTTGAATAGGAGTGGTGAAAGTGGGCATCCACATGTTGTTTCTGATCTCAAGAGAAAACCTTTCAGCTTTTCCATTGAGCATAATGTTAACTGTGGGCTTGCCATATGTGGCCTTTACTATATTAAGGTACATTCCTTCTTAATTGTTAAGTTTTATCATAAAAGAATGCTGATTTTGTCAAATAGCTTGCTGAGATTCTTGAATCTACATTTCTTGTCACCATATCCAGAAATTTTTAACTACTATTTCTTCAAATGTATCTTCTGGTGAAATCTTTTCCTCTGCTCCTTCTGTGCCTCCAATGACACAGTGTAATGTATTTTTCTTTTGTCTGAGAGGTTCCTGAGACCCTGTTCATTTTTTTTTTCTTCTATTCTTCAGATTAGATAATTTTTTTTTTTTTTTGGTGGTACAGGGGATTGAACCCAGGGTCTTTTGCATGCAAAGTAAGCACTCTTACCAACTGAGCTATATTCCCAGACCTTATTGATGTACTTTTAAATTCACATATGCATTTCTATTATTTTTATTCTGCTACATAACTTCATCTAGTCAGTGTTTTATTTTGGATAATTTACTTTTTAAGTTACAAATTTCCCATGGTTCTTTTTCAAGATTTTATTTCTTTACTCAGAACGTCTATTTTTCTCTTCAAGAGGGTTTGCTCTTCATAATGGAAGATGGTTATAATGGATACTGAAACATCTTTGCCTGATGATTCCAACATCTGGGTCACCTCAGGATGGGTATGTTGATAGTCTTTTCCTTTGAGAATTAGTCAAACTTTTTTGTTTTGTTTTGTTTTTGTATGTAAGGCAATTTTTGTAGTTTATTCTGATTTTTTTAATCTTATATTCAGACTCTTTGAGTCCTATTAAAAGCTTTTAGAGTACATAGACTTTTTTGTTTGGTTTGACAGGGAGTCAGATTTAGATAGTAAATCCTTGCCTCAAGTGAGCAGAGATACTAATACAAGATTAGTTTATAAAGCCTTAAGCTTCTTTTCGTGCATGTGCCACTCAAGGACTTGGATGGAGGATTCCTAGCTCTGTTTTCAAAGTCTTGGGATAGTTAGGATCAAAATAGAATTATGACATTCTCTTTACCAATTCTCTCTTACCTGAAAAACATGCCAGCTCCTAGATACCTCATTGTTCAAGTCATTCTAGAAGGATAAAAATGTTTCTCTTAGAATTCTTACTTACTACACTGTAACAGTTCTGAAGGACTCAAGCCCCCTCTTGGGGGGATAAAACAGAAAAGAGACTAGGAATTCCTTAATACTCTTTGGCTTGAAGAAGCTTCTTTTTCTGATCCTCTGATAAAAAAGAAAAGGTTACTGTTGGAGGTTTTTGCTAGATACTTGAATTAAAAATGATGATATAGGAGAAGAAAAATATACTAGTCACACATTCCTACACTGGTTCTTCAAATTTTAATTTCCCTTCCCAACCTAACTGCTATGGTTTACTTTTGAAGTAACAAGTATACAAGCAGTTTTCTGTATTCTGTCTAGAGTTTTTGCTGTAATAAATGGGAGGGTGCTATGAACTAAGTTATGCTCCCCTGAAATTCATATGCAAAACCTCTTTCCCTTGTATAGCTATATTTGGGGACAGGACTTGTAATGAGGCAAGTAGAGTTAAATGAAGTATAAGGGTGGAGCTAGAGACACCAAAGAACTCTTTTTCCCTTTCCAACATGTGAGAACACAGTGGAAAACTGATCATCTACCTATAAGCCAGGAAGAGAGTCCTGTCTGGAAAGTGAATCATTCTGCTTCCTTGATCTTGGACTTCCCATCCTCCAGAACTGGGAAATAAACTTGTGTTACTTAAGCTTCTTAGTTCATAATATTTTGTTACAGCAGCTGTACTTACTCCACCTTGGCAAACATTTTTAGTTAGCTTTCTGAATAGTAACTTTTGATGGTTATAATATATAAAAATGTATATACAGAATATAAAAAAGAAGAAAATAGAACCCAAGTTATTGAAGAAAATATAGAGGAGAAAAAACAATAATTTTCCTTATGGAAGTCATTACAAATAAGAAAAATATAATGAAAAAATTAGAATACATAGAAGAGGAAGAAGAAAAACCACCTGTAGGCAAAACTTATTAAGAAGTAATTAGATAAACAGGAATAGAGAGAGAAAAGGGGAAAATGTAGCTGAACTAGAAAATAAATGGTTATTTAGCAAACAAATGATCAACAAAGCCTCAAGTTAGTT